GGTTTGCTCCTGGAATCCGGGTAGTGGATAGGCTTTAACAATGGCACCCTACAGCGTAGGCTTCAGCTACTGCTTGGATGTACGTGGCAAGGTTTGTACTCGGTGGCTGTGATGGGTTGCGTCTTGCAGGCTGATGGCCCAGACCATCACCGGAACGTTGCTTGCTAGTTAAGTGTTGCAGAGCAAACAGGGGGAGCTGCACAAGGGCACAATGTTAAGTTATTAGGTAGGTTTTAAAAAAAAAAGAGGTGAAATTAAAAAACCAAAATAGATATGAAAATCTTGATCTATATTTCTCACCAACTTAAAACAGTGTAAGGTCTAATTTTGGACCTCAGCTTTTTGACTCTGCACAATTTTAAGTGGAATTTCATGGAAGTTTACAAATAATTCATGCGTCTTATTTTGCAATGGGGCCTTAAGGCCCCACAGTTTGGGGCACGGAAGAACGTTCCGGGAGGGAGGGGAAGAAGACGTGCAGCAGGGCCTGCACCAGCCACCACAGGAGCGAGGAGGGACCACCTCCCAGCCCAGCTCCTCTCCCCAGGTAAAGCTTGGCTCCGCCCCCAGCCACAGCTCCGCTTTGCCCCCCAGGCTAGCCCCACTCTAGCCCCAGCTCCTCCCCACCTCCCCAGTTCTGCCCCCAGCTTTGCTGTCAGCCCAAGCTCCTCTGCTTAGCCAACTGTGCAGTAATGGAAGGAGGCATGGACGGACTCCATTACTGATAAAGGGGGGGGGACACGACTTTTGGGCATCACTGCTTTAAGGCCTTAAGATCCTTGTAAATTGCTATGGATTGCAACTCCATCAGTGGCCCCTAGAAATGAGACTTGCACATTTCTATGGCTTTGCTCCAGCCTGCTTGCAAACAGGTTAATTGTTGCTAATGTACACTTTTGATTGGTTCAGGGACTGTACAAATGACAGTACATATGTGTGTTACATTTCACATCTAGTTCAGTTTAAAAAGAAATAAAATCGAATAGTATTAAAGATCTGATCCTGCAGAATTTACTCTTACAAAATTCACATTAAGGTCAATGGGACAAATTAATCCCTGGTCCGACTCCTCAAGTCAATTTGGCATTTCACCACGGATGAATCTGGCCCAGTAAGAGCTTTGACCATGACTTAGGACAGCAACTTATTGTCTGACTTAAAAGAGGAGAATTCGGATCCCAAAGTCATCACACAATCACCCTACTTGCTTCACTGTTACAGTTATGCTGATGATGTCATCATAGTTAAGAAAAAGGGAGAGAGGTTTTCAGGCCAAGATTTTTAAAAGTGACTCAGGTTTTTAGTGTCTCCACTTTTGGATGCCCAACTTGAGATACCTTTGTCTGATTCTGAGAGGGCAGATGCTCAGCACTCTTTGAAAATCAAGTCCCATTAAGATATCGGTTGCCCCAAATTTGCCGTCTCCCTACACTACTAATCACTCTTGAAAATCTTGGCCATCATACTGAGTTGTGAATTTCAAAATAAATCCAAACATTAATATGTGAGGATAGGTTGTCAGGGTGTGGATACTGTGGTGGTGTGTGCAACGGAAATGCCTGTACATAAATGTATTTTGTAAGGGTGTCTTTTTTAGAATTTGATTTACTTTGTTTTTGGAGAAATGGCTTAAAAATGTTTATTTGGGCATAAGCTTTCGTGGGTAAAAAAACACTTCTCCAGATGCATTCAGTGTTTTTTGTTTTTTGTTTTTTTTACCCACGAAAGCTTATGCCCAAATCTGTTAGCCTTTAAGGTGCCACCGGACTCCTTGTTTTTGTGGATACAGACTAACACAGCTACCCCCGATACTTAAAAATGTTTATTTTACAGAAAACTTAAATGTCCTGCCCAAACTCCCTGGCAATGCCCCTAATCCTTGAAATACTTTAAATTGCAGTTTGAGGAGAAAGGTCGTTAATGACTTGTTACATAACCCATGGGATCAAACCCTGGAGGTTTAATTGGTTTTGAACTTTGCACCAAGGCCATTTCCTGCTTGTGAGTAACAAGTTCTGATCACAGGTGGATGGAAATATCAGATTAACAAATACTAAGTGAACTCAAATTATTTGACCTCTTTGTGTTTCCTGAAGTGCTTACATGGAAATAGATAATGAGGTAATGGGTGCATTGAAACAGGGTAGTTCAGCACCACGCTTCTCAACTGGGTCATGATCTTGCACCCGTTGAAATCAGTGGTAGAACCAAGGCACTTAGTGCAAACTGGTTCCATTCTGCGTCGAGACCACAGAAACACAGACCCACAAATAAGCATGCAAAGTTATAGGTGTGTGATGTGCGGTGTGCGCCGTGGGAGGCTGTTTTTGAAAAGCTGACCCTTTGGGGCTGTTGTATCATCCCATCCATCTGGGTCTAGTGCAGAGCAAATGCCTTTTGAACAGTGTTTGCTGAAGTGGGCTCTCCACTCGAGTAAGGAGCTGTTGTTAAGCTAATGAGCTGGAAAAGCTTCATGTGAAAACAATGCGGAATATTTGTCCAGTCCATTCACCCGAAAGAATCGTTAATTTGTGGCTGCTCAGTGACCACCTCAAGTTGCTGTAGTAGCAAGTCCAAGAAGTAACTTACTGCGTTACAGGAACGGAAAGCAGGAATGGGCCCAACCAGCAACATTTGTGGGAGTTTGGATCCAGATTTTTGTGTCTTCTATAATCAAAATATATTCAGTCCCAATGATTTGTCCACTGTGTCTAACAATAGTATGTGAGATTCCTAAATTATACAGGACTGTGACTGTGAGCCGGGATATTCAGATCTTGGTTAGATATCACAATGATAAGTGCCTTATCTACCTAATATAGTATCAGACTCTTAGAAATACACTGATGTGCAGCTATTTATTACTTCAAATGTAGAGAGAGAGCGAGAGAGATACTGACTAGAACGAGAATAGAACTGAACCATTTGACAATGGCTGGTTAAAAAGCAGTATGGCCATTGTATGAAGCCACAGCACTATCTCTGTAATGTGGTGTACGTCTGTCTGTCTCTCATGCACATGCAGCTGATTTGACAGAGTTTCCTCCCTGCACCAAATGATCACTTCGGGAAGCAGCATCTCTCGGAAGAAGTGAAGTGGTTTGACATGATAGGAGGAGACACTTTTCTGAGTCAGAGCTGGGAGGGAGGGAGGAGATCTCACAGCAGCAGAGGGCAAGAGAATAACCTTTAATTTTGTAAAAAGAAAAGGAGTACTTGTGGCACCTTAGAGACTAACAGATTTATTTGAGCATTAAAGTTTTCATGACCTACAGCTCACTTCATCAGATGCTGAAAGCTTATGCTCAAATAAATTTGTTAGTCTCTAAGGTGCCACAAGTACTCCTTTTCTTTTTGTGAATACAGACGAACACGGCTGCTACTCTGAAACCTTTAATTTTGTGTTTCTGGGGGACAGTGTTTGGACCATTTAGCATCAGGCAAGACTCGATACTAAAGGGTCCGAAGAGTCCATCTGGGATGTAACCAAATCCATGTGATGGATTCTGTGTGTTTCTGTTTGCTTTCTGTGGCCTGTACATACGCACAAGGCTTGAGCACAACGCGCCAACTGCTTCCAGAGTGCATGAAATGACCCCTAACCTAGCCAAGTGAGTAGTGTGACCAGTTAGGCCTGTGTACAACAGCTAACGTCCTATTTCAACGAGCAGTAACCCCATCAGATATTAATGCTGGTAAGAGATCCCTGTGTGAGGATTGCATATCTAAAGCATGCCCAGATTTTGTGCCATTGAGATTGCCGTGCCTAGTTGCACATCTGGTATCTCCCCATGACCTCCAGCAGAATGATGGGGTCAGTCCAGAGGTCCTCCCAGCCTGCTTACATTGACCTGACTCTGAGTTGTCTTTGAGTGGCAAAAGGCTGCTTCATGCACCCAGACTTCTAAAACCTCTGAAAACATGTAACCTTCCTGGAGGTTCTTCTGAGCTGGCTGGCACATGTCCCGTTGACATTGCTAATTGCTGCGGTGCATCCCCACTGCTGCTGTTTTAAAAGCTGAAATAGGAATGTCAAAGGGGGGCGAGGGGGAGGAAGAGGCGGTGTCTGTGATGGCCTCTATTCCATGGATTCTGGCTCTGTTCCCCAAGCCAGTTACATATGTGGAGATGCAGGCAGTGGAACGTGTGCAAAGTCAGCATCGCTGAGCTCTTCCTGCTTGCCTGGCTGCCTCCCCTATGAATAAACCATTTCAGAAATGTAGACCAATATTTCATAACCTTCACCATCCCTGGCCTGGGTATGGAAAACAAGCTCAGCTCCATCAGTGCATAAAGCTGCAGTACACAGACGTGCACTGAAATCAGTAGGGTTTCTCTGGATCTGTGCTGGGGAAACTGGGAGCAGTGTCTTGCCCCAGGAATGTATAAATCGTTATGTAAGTGGACCATACATTATTGAATATTGAAATTCACAAACACCATGACATGGTAAATATATGCATGGAGCAAATCTGTAGTAATACGAAAGATTTTGGATGGTCTCCAAATACAACAGAACAGTTACTGATACAAATAAGTGACTGACTTAGTTTTCTTGTGTGTTTTTGGGTGGATCATGTCTCCTAGATCTGCAGCTTTCCTCCTACCCCCCCTCGCACACAGCAGGGAGCCCAGCTCGGCACAGTTCTTCCTCCTAAGACTTTGCCCGAGGAGGGGAGGGGAATTGAGGCTGGGGGGAGCTATGGGGATGACATGTTGTCCCATGCTCCCCAGCCCTGAGCACTACAGAATCCCCAGAGAAATGAATGACGATTTAAGCCATGTCTACACGTACAAACTTAGAGGCACAGCTGTACGGATACAGCTGTATGAGCGCTCCTGTAGCTGCATTATGCTGATATATTAAAACCAGCTCAACCAGCTCCTGCTTTTGAGCAGGGGGTTGGACTAGATGACCTCCTGAGGTCCCTTCCAACCCTGATATTCTATGATTCTATGCCCTGGTCTACACTAGGACTTTAGGTCGAATTTAGCAGCATTAAATCGATGTAAACCTGCACCCGTCCACACGATGAAGCCCTTTATTTCGACTTAAAGGGCTCTTAAAATCGATTTCCTTACTCCACCCCTGACAAGTGGATTAGCGCTTAAATCGGCCTTTACGGCTCGAATTTGGGGTACTGTGGACACAATTCGACGGTATTGGCCTCCGGGAGCTATCCCAGAGTGCTCCATTGTGACCGCTCTGGACAGCACTCTCAACTCAGATGCACTGGCCAGGTAGACAGGAAAAGAACCGTGAACTTTTGAATCTCATTTCCTGTTTGGCCAGCGTGGCAAGCTGCAGGTGACCATGCAGAGCTCATCAGCAGAGGTGACCATGATGGAGTCCCAGAATCGCAAAAGAGCTCCAGCATGGACCGAACGGGAGGTACGGGATCTGATTGCTGTTTAGGGAGAGGAATCCGTGCTATCAGAACTCCGTTCCAGTTTTCGAAATGCCAAAACCTTTGTCAAAATCTCCCAGGGCATGAAGGACAGAGGCCATAACAGGGACCCGAAGCAGTGCCTTGTGAAACTGAAGGAGCTGAGGCAAGCCTACCAGAAAACCAGAGAGGTGAACGGCCGCTCTGGGTCAGAGCCCCAAACATGCCGCTTCTATGATGAGCTGCATGCCATTTTAGGGGGTTCAGCCACCACTACCCCAGCCGTGTTGTTTGACTCCTTCAATGGAGATGGAGGCAATATGGAAGCAGGTTTTGGGGACGAAGAAGATGATGATGAGGAGGAGGAGGAGGAGGAGGAGATTGTAGATGGCTCACAGCAAGCAAGCGGAGAAACCGGTTTTCCCGAAAGCCAAGAACTGTTTCTCACCCTGGACCTGGAGCCAGTACCCCCCGAACCCACCCAAGGCTGCCTCCTGGACCCAGCAGGCGGAGAAGGGACCTCCGGTGAGTGTACCTTTTAAAATACTATACATGGTTTAAAAGCAAGCATGTGAAAGGATTACTTTGCCCTGGCATTCGCGGTTCTCCTGGATGTACTCCCAAAGCCTTTGCAAAAGGTTTCTGGGGAGGGCAGCCTTATTGCATCCTTCATGGTAGGACACTTTACCACTCCAGGCCAGTAACACATACTTGGGAATCATTGTAGAACAAAGCATTTGCAGTGTATGTTTGCTGGCATTCAAACAACATCCGTTTTTTATCTCTCTGTGTTATCCTCAGGAGAGTGAGATATCATTCATGGTCACCTGGTTGAAATAGAGTGCTTTTCTTCAGGGGACATTCAGAGGAGCCCATTCCTGCTGGGCTGTTTGCCTGTGGCTAAACAGAAATGTTCCCCGCTGTTAGCCACGGGGAGGGGGGAAGGTTGAGGGGGTAGCCATGCGGTGGGGGGAGGCAAAATGCGACCTTGTAACGAAAGCACATGTGCTATGTATGTAATGTTAACAGCAAGGTTTACCCTGAAAGAGTGTAGCCACTGTTTTATAAAATGTGTCTTTTTAAATATCGCTGTCCCTTTTTTTTTCTCCACCAGCTGCATGTGTTTCAATGATGACAGGATCTTCTCCTTCCCAGAGGCTAGTGAAGCTTAGAAAGAAAAAAAAACACACTCGCGATGAAATGTTCTCCGAGCTCATGCTGTCCTCCCACACTGACAGAGCACAGACGAATGCGTGGAGGCAAATAATGTCAGAGTGCAGGAAAGCACAAAATGACCAGGAGGAGAGGTGGCGGGCTGAAGAGAGGGCTGAAGCTCAAATGTGGTGGCAGCGTGATGAGAGGAGGCAGGATTCAATGCTGAAGCTGCTGGAGGACCAAACCAGTATGCTCCAGTGTATGGTTGAGCTGCAGCAAAGGCAGCTGGAGCACAGACTGCCACTACAGCCCCTGTGTAACCAAGTACCCTCCTCTCCAAGTTCTATAGCCTCCACACCCAGACGCCCAAGAACGTGGTGGGGGGGCCTCCGGCCAACCAGCCACTACACCACAGAGGATTGCCCCAAAAAAAAGAAGGCTGTCATTCAATAAATTTTAAAGTTGTAAACTTTTAAAGTGCTGTGTGGCATTTTCCTTCCCTCCTCCACCACCCCTGCTGGGCTACCTTGGTAGTCATCCCCCTATTTGTGTGATGAATGACTAAAGAATGCATGAATGTGAAGCAACAATGACTTTATTGCCTCTGCAAGCGGTGATTGAAGGGAGGAGGGGAGGGTGGTTAGCTTACAGGGAAGTAGAGTGAACCAAGGGGCGGGGGGTTTCATCAAGGAGAAACAAACAGAACTTGCACACCGTAGCCTGGCCAGTCATGAAACTGGTTTTCAAAGCTTCTCTGATGCGTACCGCGCCCTCCTGTGCTCTTCTAACCGCCCTGGTGTCTGGCTGCGTGTAACCAGCAGCCAGGCGATTTGCCTCAACCTCCCACCCCGCCATAAACGTCTCCCCCTTACTCTCACAGATATTGTGGAGCACACAGCAAGCAGTAATAACAGTGGGAATATTGGTTTCGCTGAGGTCTAAGCGAGTCAGTAAACTGCACCAGCGCGCCTTTAAACGTCCAAATGCACATTCTACCACCATTCTGCACTTGCTCAGCCTGTAGTTGAACAGCTCCTGACTACTGTCCAGGCTGCCTGTGTACGGCTTCATGAGCCATGGCATTAAGGGGTAGGCTGGGTCCCCAAGGATACATATAGGCATTTCAACATCCCTAACAGTTATTTTCTGGTCTGGGAATAAAGTCCCTTCCTGCAGCTTTTGAAACAGACCAGAGTTCCTGAAGATGCGAGCGTCATGTACCTTTCCCGGCCATCCCACGTTGATGTTGGTGAAACGTCCCTTGTGATCCACCAGAGCTTTCAGCACTATCGAAAAGTACCCCTTGCGGTTTATGTACTCGCCGGCTTGGTGCTCCGGTGCCAAGATAGGGATATGGGTTCTGTCTATGGCCCCACCACAGTTAGGGAATCCCATTGCAGCAAAGCCATCCACTATGACCTGCACATTTCCCAGGGTCACTACCCTTGATATCAGCAGATCTTTGATTGCGTGGGCTACTTGCATCACAGCAGCCCCCACAGTAGATTTGCCCACTCCAAATTGATTCCCAACTGACCGGTAGCTGTCTGGCGTTGCAAGCTTCCACAGGGCTATCGCCACTCGCTTCTCAACTGTGAGGGCTGCTCTCATCTTGGTATTCATGCGCCTTAGGGCAGGGGAAAGCAAGTCACAAAGTTCCATGAAAGTGCCCTTACGCATGCGAAAGTTTCGCAGCCACTGGGAATCGTCCCAGACCCGCAACACTATGCGGTCCCACCAGTCTGTGGTTGTTTCCTGAGCCCAGAATCGGCGTTCCACACCATGAACCTGCCCCATTAGCACCATGATGCATGCATTGGCAGGGCCCATGCTTTCAGAGAAATCTGTGTCCATGTCCTGATCACTCACGTGACCGCGCTGACATCGCCTCCTCGCCCGGTATCTTTTTGCCCGGTTCTGGTGCTGCATATACTGCTGGATAATGCGTGTGGTGTTTAATGTGCTCCTAATTGCCAAAGTGAGCTGAGCGGCCTCCATGCTTGCCTTGGTATGGCGTCCGCACAGAAAAAAGGCGCGGAACGATTGTCTGCCGTTGCTCTGACGGAGGGAGGGGCGACTGACGACACGGCTTACAGGGTTGGCTTCAGGGAGCTAAAGTCAACAAAGGGGGTGTCTTTACATCAAGGAGTATTTCAGGCAGGACTTCACGGAGGGTTCCAATAAGAAATGGTGCACCTAAGTTATTGTTGTTATTGGAACAAGGAGGTTAGCCTGGCCTCTGATTGATACATGGCTAGATTTACCTTGCTGCACCTTCTCTGTGAGTGACTGCAGTGTGACCCAGAGGAATGAGTCCCCTAGACAGGGGAGGAGGCAAATGAGTACAAAACAAATCTGGTCTCTTTCTTGTTTTGATCCACTCCATCTATCTTTTACTTCTTTGGCTGGCAGCAGATGGTGCAGAAGGACTGCATGCCATCCACATCTCATGGCTGCTCGGCAGAAGATGGTACAGTACGACTGCTAGCCATCCTCATCTCTTGCCTGCCTGGCAGAAGATGGTACAGTACGACTCCTAGCAATCCTCATCTCTTGCCTGCCCAGCAGAAGATGGTACAGTACGACTCCTAGCAATCCGTATCGCCTGCCTGCTCACCATAAGACAGTTCAATAGGACTGACTGCAGGACTAAAGAGAATGACCTGGTCAAGTCACTCCAAATTTAGTCCCTGTGCCCATGTCTGCCCAGGCGCTCCCAGCCGACGTGGCCAGGAGCACCTCGGACACGACGAGGACGGCTACCAGTCGTACTGCACTGTCTGCTGCCAGAAGGCAATGGGTTGCTGCTACTGTGTAGCAAAGCCGTACCACATCTGCCAGCACCCAGGAGACATAGGATGACGGTTACCTGAGCGGGCTCCATGCTTGCCGTGGTATGGCGTCTGCACAGGTAACTCAGGAAAAAAGGCGCGAAATGATTGTCTGCCCTTGCTTTCACGGAGGGAGGGAGGGAACGGGGGCCTGATGATATGTACCCAGAACCACCCGCGACAATGTTTTAGCCCCATCAGGCACTGGGATCTCAACCCAGAATTCCAATGGGCAGCGGAGACTGCGGGAACTGTGGGATAGCTATCCACAGTGCAATGCTCCAGAAATCGACTCTAGCCTCAGTACTGTGGAAGCACTCCGCCGAGTTAATGCACTTAATGCACTTAAAGCATTTTCTGTGGGGACACACACACTCGAATATATAAAACCAATTTCTAAAAAAACAACTTCTATAAATTCGACCTTATTCCGTAGTGTAGACATACCCTATGATTCTAAGTGGCGGTAGCTAGGTCGGTGGGAGACGCTCTCCTGCCGACATAACGCTGTCCACACCAGCGCTTAGGTCGGCGTAACTTATATCACTCGGGGGTGGCTTAGTCACACCCCTGAGTGCTGTACGTTCCACTGACCCCCATTACTGTTAGTGTAGACGTAGCCTAAGGCTGTGCAGTCTGTCTTGAAGAGAGCTTGCAGAAGAAGTAGGGGTGCCATGCTGCCTGTGGTGAGTCAAGGGCAGGAGGTCCCAGAGCTGGTGCCAAAGCACATGAGTGTCGTGTGTGTGGAGGTCAACTCTTGCAGCTCCTCCCAAGTCCACAGTCTCTGGTCATTCCCCAAAAGGTGACCGCCCCTCTAAGCTCCCCAGAATAATGTGGGGAAAAACTGAGCAGCGCTTGCCCTTTCTCCCCTCACCCAGGAGGGTGACCTCTGGTCCCCTGTTACTTTGATGATGATTTTGATTGTGTTCAATCCTAGATTTGACAAGAATCTGTATGAAGTTTATATGCAGGGTCCCATCTAGCGCCTCCCTTCCTTCCCCTTCTTGAAGGAATGGTCAATGCCCTGTACCTGCCCATAACTTCCCCCTAGCAATCCACCCCCCTCCCATGCTGGAGTATGGGACAGTTCCAAATGCCCTCAGCTACTCAACCTACAACATGAGGGGGATTGGGAGGAGAATCTCCCTATGTAGACTGGGTGGCCCAGGAGCAGTGAGATTGTCAGCAGACTGCCTAGAAGTCAGCTCCTCTGGCTGGGGGTGTGTGGACAAACATGCATAAACCAGTCCCATATTTTGATAGTTGATATTAGCCATTGAGCCTTGGTTTATTTAATGAAGCCTGACCATATGGAGCTGGTCTTAGAATTGCACCCATTCTCAGCCAATTGGTCTGCTCCCTAAATCCAGGCCATGTTATGAGCATGGTACTGCACTAGGGCTAAAGTAGCATCTACAAATACATTCCTGAGATTTCGCCCCAGTGTATCGTAGCACAGAGTTTATAGATGGGAATGAACAGGCTTTTTCTCTGGTTTCCTCTAGTAACTATTCAGCCATTTCTCTTTGACTTTCTTGATGTTGCATTCTAGTGACTAATTTCTAGTTAGGATGGACTAACAAGTGGCAGTGAGAGACTTTCCACCTGCTGGGATGCTTAACTTTCACAAGAAAGCAGAAAAATCTTTAAGAATTCGATTTCCTGGGCCTATTAAATTTATGGGACTAACGGCAAGAGTTCTGAGTAAAGCAAGATAATTTGATCAAGCCTCCATTTCCGCCCTTCTGGAATACACCTCTATCAACTCAGCACTGCCAGGTGCCTTGTTTACACAGGGACATGCTAGATTTTTAAAATTGGAACGCTTTGGGAGCCCTGCTTCCCAGATGTAGTATCCATTCTCCGCTGTCACCCATGCAACTTTTGTGTCTGGCTGCTGAAAGCTGGTAGGAAAAGACCACTTGTTTTCTAGGATATTTTTCATTTGATGAGTAGTTCCTAAGAGTGGATCACATGGGGCTGCTTGTATAAGCATGCTCTGTACACCCTGCATGCACCAGGAAGTATAAATGCTCAGTCATATCAAGATAAGCTGGATTCAGCATTAGTAAGATAGGAAGTCTGATTTTTACAGCCACTAGGCAGGGTTTAGAGCCACACCCATAGGATAAAGGAAAAATTTAGGAGATTTCTCACCAGGAACTAGCTATTTCTGGGCCATTGTATCAGAGCTTTCCCTTCAAATCACTAGACGGCTGCATTTTGTATAGCATTTTTCAACTTGCTGTATCCCAACCTGCCCCACAGAGTCCGGTAAAACTACAAACTGTATGTGGTAGGAAACTAGTGCTTTTGTAGTTGATACTACAGTACAAACTAGACCAGTGGTTCTCAACCAGGGGTACGTGTACCCCTAGGGGTACACAGTCGTCTCCCAGGGGGTACATCAACCCATCTAGATATCTGCCTAGTTTTACAACAGGCTTCATAAAAATCACTAGCGAAGTCAGTACAAGCTAGAATTTCATACAATGACTTGTTCATACTGTGCTATATACTATACATGGATATGTAAGGACAATAGTTATATTCCAATTGATTTATAATGATATGGCAGAAATGAGAAAATCAGCAGCTTTTTAGTACTAGCGTGTTGTACACTTCTGTATTTTTATGTCTGATTTTGTAAGCAAGTAGTTTTTAGGCGAGGTGAAACTTGAGGGTACGCAAGACAAATCAGACGCCTG